CTTTTTTTAAAAAGCCATTAGCAGAATGGCATGTCTGTGGCCGATAAAGAAAAGCGTCATGTAAACCATGCTCTCTATACTTATAAATTACTGTTTCGTAAAAATAATCTCGTTATGTGCGAGAGACTACAATATTTCTGTGATATCTGTAAATTTAAATCTTTCAATTGCTTACAACTCATAAATTATTCAACTCTTGCCGTCCACTAAGGAAGGTAGATCGATATTAATGAAGACGGAATACTTTGCATAATACAATGAAAGTGGTAACGATATAATATTTAATGACCAGTCTGCGATATATGTTAGACGGACGCCTGTAAGCGCGATACTCGCAGCGTATTATTACGATACAGTAGTGTATTATTACGATCGCCTACCGCATTCTTAAACCCGATAACGGATTATAAATCTGCCGCACCTAGTTTCATTCATTTGCGCTTTCATACGATATTCGAGAAACGTGCTGAGGTAAAGGAAAGGTCGTGGGCACATCACGATGAGAAACGCCGCAAAATCCGCCGCAGCGCTAACAGCGAGGGAGAATAATAGCGAATAAAGTGAGTTAAAGTTCGTCCCCTGCAACAAAGCTAATTTCCCGTTCGCGTGTCCCGACTGTTTCATTCGCGCTCCAGGACAGACTTATTTGTCGCTTCCGTTTCACCCGGTTTTGCACCCGTGTTCCATCTTGTGTGGATGACAAATAAAAAGAGGGAGGATGTGAGGGTGAAAGGAGAGAGAGTAGGGGAGGAAGGAGCTGGTAACCACGCTCTTAACCCTCCTAGGGAGTTGCATAGGCTATTAGCGCTATGAGCAGTAAAGTGCAGTTTCCTTTCTGGCAAAAGGCGATTTGCACGAATTACCGAAGCGATAAGTCCAGGAAGGACGTACCTGGAGTTCGCGAACTTCGGGAGACGAACGTACTCTGTAACAACCTCTCCAACAAAAAACGATCGTTCCAACTGCTTTAGAGAGTTACGCAACACCCGCGAACTCTTCGAAGCGTATCTTTCTATAGCGACTACATAAGTTAAAGGTCGACGAATCGTGAGCAAACTGCTTCTTTCCCCTTCCTTACTTAGCGACAATGATTATCTAGTTGTAATTAGAAATTGCAAATTCTTAGAATTTCCAATTGCGTTTGGAAGAGCATGAGCAAGCTTGCCAGCTGTGAAATTCCAAATACTATGGCTAATGCGAATGTTGAATACGATAGTGATTGAAATTCATACAATTTATGGTAACAAACTTGGGTGTTATTATTGCATGAACTTGAGTGTAAACTAGAACAGAATATCGCGGAAGCAACTTGCAACATGAATTAATATAACGGTGCTTCGGATCGTCCGTTGAAGAGGTGATTTGTACACGAGATTGATCGCGGAGAATGGCATTTCAATTAGCAAATCCTTCAAGGCTTTCAGATTCATGATTATTAAAACACACATGTCTTAAAATACACTGTTTTAAGTCTACGATCGCCAAAGCGGATTAAAGCGTTAATTTATTAAAGTAGTGTTCATCGATTCTTCGATCCTTACTTTCTTAACAGAGCAATCTCGAAATGGAAGAGAATAATATTTGTGTTTCACTTAAAAGAGCTTCGGATAGAGTTAGCGTGGATCCCTTATAATACACACAAGTTCCATTAGTCTGATTTTGAAATAATTCTCGTTATATCCGCAGACGAGGACAATTATTATGACCGTCGGGATATGCTATCTGAATATACACACATACACGCACAAACAAAACAAACACACACACACACACACACACAAGTACACACATATATACACCCCGTCTGGCACTTCATAAGACTGATTACGGTGCGATATTAAGCTTGTAAATCGTAACTCGAATATGGATGCTTGCTGGACGACATCAAACGACCGAATTTGCTCGAGCTAAGCTTGCGCGCTTCGCCGTTTATCTTCCAACTCAGATTTATTAATGGGGCCATTAAGGGAAGGAAGAAAGCGATTATTCTGTCCGCCTTTGTCTTGTCATCTAAATCTAATTAAAACATACTTGACTTTAATTACGTCATACGTAATAAAGGTATTAATCCTACTTTTCTTAATTAGCATGCGATGATAATTTGAAACATTTCGCAATTAATTTTAATAAAATTATTCATCTTTTTCTGTTTACAAAAATTTCTTCTAAAATATCTTTATTATTATCAGTATACAGGATGCATATACAGCAGAAAACATAAGGATCTCTCTCGTGTGAAAAAAATAATCTCGTAGAAGAACATGGAACAAAATTTTTCACGCATAAGGATTTATCTTCAAGAGGGAATAGTTTTGAAAATCGAAAAATTTATGACGCGTTTATACACCTTCTTTCGGTATATCAAACTGATTAAATTCAATTTCCGTGCTTTATTTTTGTTTAACTAATACGAGAATTATACATGGTAATGCACTCCTTGATCCACTTAATACCTTTCCCTTATCTGACATAGGATAGTTTTTTACGAGAGCTTACAAGACATCACGCGCAATTTTAATGCACGGGATTCTCAGAACATGTCGCATGTTTCAGGCTCGGGGATCTCATCCGAGAAAAATCAAGAGGCAGGGATATTCTGTAGGCGACGATGCCTCGGCGCTACCAATTTCGGGATTACGGTGACAGTGTACCATAGCAAATCTGGCCGTTTCTCTCTGCGCGAAATTCAACGGGGCGACTCGTCGCAAATTCCGCAAAATTATCGTCGAAAGCGCGCACAGCAGAATCTCCATCACTACCACCTCTTTCTTCTTTAGCTCCTTTTAGCTCACATCGCGCCGCTTTCAATTAAAACAGGTCCTCACTCAGAATCATTCTCATTGCTTTTTCGCATTTGCAATTTCACGATTATCTCGAGTAAGCGACTGATTTTATGCACGTGGGATGATTCATGTCTCGCCCACCATCTGATACGTACGTACGATTTAAAGATGCGGCGATACTCTCTGTGTTATAAATATCTAAATATTCCAGTACCGAGAAACTCCGAGAAACTTTGTTGAATATTCAGCAACATTAAAAATGCAAGGAACATGTCGCATCCTTACTTTAAAAGTGACATAATTCACAAAATTTAGTTTCGCATCCAGAAAAGGAGAAAAAAATTGTTTTTTTAATTTGATAGAAAATTATTCACTAAATATATCAACAAAAAAGAATATATGATCAAATGTCATTTTCATAATCCTCCCTCTTTTAGTTGCGATAATTTTTTTTGTAATCACCCTTTTTAATTATATTGATCTCGAACTTTTTTATAAAGTTAAATTAGTTCACTTTTGTTTGATTGACAGGATAATATTTATTCAACTCGTTTACGGTAATAATTTACATTTTTAGAAAGTTACATTTTTTAAATTGTGTTACTTTTGAAGTGAGAGAATACGATAGGTATAATATTTACCAAAAACAAAAGTCGGATTACGTAAAAGCTTAAAACTAATTAGCTTAATAGGAAATTGCATAATGAAAAAAATTTCCCACTTTATATTTCTCGAAACATTTCTTAAATATGCGTCGATTCTACTTATTTCGAAATTCTTCCATGGGGTTTCATTAGTTCCTTTTTCAAATGGAGAAATGAAATGCCCAGGTCATTACCGTCGCAAAAACACCAGGAAGCTCGCCACGTGCCATTATTGCGTTAATTAGTGTCGGATCCCAGAGTACCTCTTTGATATCCAGAACAAGCCGAACAGCAGCGCCACGTTTCGCCCTCGTTAAAGGCAAAGACTGAGGTGCTATTTCACGAGCCCAAGGGCTCAATGAATGCAGGTGTTGGGAGCTCAGAAAGACTAATTAACACCTCGCGGTCGAAAGGATTCCTCGCATTTTTAATAGGAAGACGAGCTCTAATTTTATTTGAAGAGTCAGCGACGAAGAAGAAAGAGAACCGATAGCCGATATTCAGAATAAGCTCTTTATCGAAAAACGGATTTATCTGAATATAGAGTTGAGCGAGAATTGGATGTTTATTTACCAGTTCGATTTATTCGTACGAAACTTTATCTGTATCCGTCGTCGTTTGCATAATTTGAAAGGATGTCAATAATTATTCAGATAAATACTAAAATTGAATATACAACTGAGACAATTTCATAAATTTATTACACATAAAAGTAGTAATTTCATAAATCACAAATAATATAATTCAAATAATGTTATAAATAAAAAGAGCAGTCGTTCAAGTGAGTGTTTAAACAAATAATAGTCGACACCAGATTATTAGAATAATTTCGAACTGTGATGCAAGCACAATCACGTAACATAGACGTCGTGACATAATTATTGGATCACGGAACACTCATTCATTAGATATCGTTTAAAGAGACCCTCGTACACATAATCTCCTTTACACCTGTGATGTGTGTGTGTGTGTGTGTGTGTGTGTGTGATAAGAGGTTTTCGAATAATCACGCTCCATATCGGAGACTGTGATCTGAGAAGAGTAGGATTAAAGTGTTGACCCCGATTTATCCGATCGACTGTTAAGATAAGACATAATGTGACAATGGCACTTTTCTTCTACCGCCGAGCTTTTGTCACAACGTTCAGATATTATCCTTGTTCAAACGAGTCTGTCGGTTTGCACATGTCGGAAGTCTGAGAATGGAACTCGTGCAGAGAAAAAGATAGGATATCACGCTGCTGCTAAAGCGTAAAAATTTATATATAATTCTGAAATGTAAAAGACAGCGTGTTATTCGAAAATGAGATTATTACTCGCGCATGTATGAGTATTCAGAAGGGGGGAGCGAATATTTCAGTTTTAATTATAAAAATTTCAAATTTATCTTGGACTCTAAGTAAGTAAGTAACCTTTTTGTTGTAAAAAAAATATTGTTGTTAAATAAAATATTTTCTTCTTCCTGATCATGTAAGTAATTTCTGGAACTTACGTTAGAGCTAACTTTGACAGTAGTTGAAAAGTATAAAAACAATTTTTGCAAAAAACAACATATATGATGAAATATATTATTTATAAATACTTCATTTACACAATTATATATTTTTTAATAACTGCATTTTGTCTATACTTTCATCAGAAAAAGAATAAAAGTAATGATTCACAAAAAGTTATGTGATAAAAGTTATGATTTACGAAATTAATTTTTCATATTTAAAATTAGGAACAAGAAAAGGACATTCAAAATTCTAAAATATCCAAAAAGCAATTTATTTGCGCAAAAAATTGCTATTTATGTGATAATCAGAATATTAACCAGTAACTCTCCTTCCCTTAAAAAAAATCTTGGATACGCCCATGCTTGCGCGTCAAGTAGTTCGGAATAAATCGAGTTTGAAATGCATAATTTATAATGTATAACCTAATTCGCAGGATTTTATGAATTTAACTCATTTTTGCAAAATAAATCAAAACGTCGTTTTAAACACCGTCTAACTGCAGCCTTGCGCCTGCATAAATAATGGATTTTGGACGGAATGTCATCTACATAGATATTTCACTACGAACATTACTTGGGCTCTTGTTGGGCTTTTGTCTGTGCGGACTAGAGATTTATATGCTTGTAGAACGCCTTCTCTCTATTAACTATCGCAATTTTAGAAATTTATTGACTTGCTTGTGCGAACGCTTTAAAAGATAATAAGGTAACTGTTCCAATAACTGTGTATAATCATTGAAAAATCAATATATATATTTGTAATTATAAAATATTTATCAATAAGTAAGAAAATGTGACAAACTAAAAGAAAATGTTATATACCTTGTACAGACTAATTGTAAATAATAAAAATAAATAATTTTAATTGCAAAATATTGTGAAAAAATTGTTCATTTCAAGTTTCGCAGGGACACTCATATTTTCGTTTTATTTTTTCATTTATCATTTTGAGCAAGATCATCTTGAGTAAAAGTTGAGCAAAACCATCTGGAATAACTACATTTTCAAATTTTTTAAAATATGGTAATGCATTTATTTAAACATGTAGTATGTTCTTCATTATAAAAAATTGAAAATAAAAAAAAATTTTAGTTAAATTAAAAAAATTTATTTTATTAGAACTTCAAGTTACTAATACCGAGTTATAGTTTAATATGTAATATAATGAAATTTCACTTAAGTATTCTTTCTTAAATTTATATAATATTTTTCAATTATTGAAAAATCTAATTTTTATATGATATTAATTTCTTCTGTAACTAATAACATCGTGGAATAACACGTTTTGAGAATGAATTAGTTCTCGCGAAATATAAAGATTAACTTGCAAAATCTTTTTCCTGTGAATAAACAGGAATATCCTTTTGTAAATATTGGTAATATCGTAAAATACTGAAAAGGAAATATATAACTTGAAATTTTTATTGCGTCAGCTCAGTTTGCTTAATTATAAGCAGTATTTGTTGTAAACTGCTAGAAAAACCTGTTTCTGATAGAAAAGATGAAAAGCACGCTAATATTATTTCGCTGATTTTTCCTTCGAATATATTTACTAAACTATATAGAGCGTGGCTAAAAAGGAGCGAGCGCCGCGTTATACGACACGTTTTATTCATCAAAAATCAAAACGAAGCGGAACATCTCCACTATTTTCCGGCAAAACGATGTCATCGATAGGATTGGAAAGAAACCTAAAGAGCCATGGCTCCTACCTTCACATGCCCGTATTTCCATGTGAAAAGAGCGACGGCTGGCAGGCAAGCGATGATGCAGCACTCCAGGATAAGTATCGCCGTTCGCATCAGCCAGTTCAGGGATACAACGCAGGGCGAGCCATCCTCGCAGGACTCGCACCCTTCGGCACATGGCAGGCATTCGAATACTCCGCCCTCGGCATATTGGCTCTTTTCACCCTATTGACAAACACGGAATTATTTTTCTTCAGAAACGGATTCTCTCTGCAAAGTAAAGCAAAACCTGAAATTAATCATTAAAAAATTTGTTTGTTTTTCGATAACAAATATTGGAGTCACATCAATTTTCTGTTTTTGATTCAAATTTCGTGTTACAAATGGATTTTGTATTTGATTTCAAAATTAAGGCTTTAATGAATATACAGTGAGTGCAAAAAATATTCGTACAGGGGAGAACTCTTTTAAAAAATATTATTTTTTAAAAGTAAATATTAATTACCAATTTATTAACAAAAAATAGAATAGATCGTACACGGAAAATAGATTGATTAAAACAACTAAAAACTTCATTGAATCAATGAATCTTCAGCTGTAACATATACGAATACTATTTTTTTATGTTAAATTAACACAATTGTATAGCTGAATAAAGTTAACGATTATAGATAATTACATTTGTTGTAACAGGAAATTGTTAATACAGAAAAGATAACTTTCTACGAAAATTATTCCAATATATAGATTAAAATTTTTACAAAACATGCTAGCTGAAATAATATATACTTTTGCAACTGTAATGAAGAAAACTCGTTATATTAGCAATTTTCATTGTAGCCAAAAATTAGCTGAATTAGCATACTGATAATTCAGTACTCCAACACTCGCGCTGCTTACAGACATAATTCCTTTGTTAAATCATCCAATTTTTAGTAGTTATAAATGTTGAACTTGCGCAGCAAGTTATAGTAGTAGCTTTGCTGATTCATACAATCTATTTTTTCAGAGTATATTTTTCAAAATTATTTTATCTGAAAAGATGTATAATAAAATAATATTATCTTAATAATAAGCAAAAATTATTCAAATACACAACAAGTATTTGTACAGTCGGGAAATTTATTTCTGAGATTATGAAAACAATTATTTTCGCGAAGCTCTTTTATTTATATTAGGACAGAGCGTTATTCATTAATAAATTCCGGGTCAGGACAATTTTACATAATTTTATCACCACGTCACATAAGTTACCGGTAAGTAAGTATTTTTGTTTGCGTTTGTTATGTTTGTTATTAGGTGTTGGAATTAATTCGTAGCGTTTTACAAGTGATGGGAAGTACTTTCATTAATGTATTTTTTAATGCTCATGTGAAATAAATAACATTCTTTCATTAAAAAACGCTACGAATTAATTCCAACACCTAATAAATATATATAATATATATTTTTCATACTAATTAAAACAATTATAAAAATTATTATAAAAAAGAAAGCATACCATGCTAATATTGCATCACATATCATAATTATGTATCTACATATGTATGATGTAAAAAATTATTTTATAATTATACGTTTCTTTTATATCAAAGAGCCTGAACGGAAAGTTCACTGGTTCACCGATGACCCACGCGGTGTACGTGGAATATGTTGATAAATTGCTAATTAATATTAATGTTTTAAAATAAGATTTTTCTTATAAAAACCTACTCTGCATGAATATTTTCGTTATAGTTCTGTATTTGAATATAGTTCTATTCTAAATCAATTCTATAATTAGCAAATATATATAATTCCATTCGAATATAATTCTATTCTAAATCAATAACATCTTATCGTCATATATGTGATCATACTTCTCTCTTCGCAAGTTCCTTTCTCTTTAGTATTTCGTAATATTTACCCTAAATGTCTGAGCATTAATGAGACTCGACATATATTGTGAAAATGTAATTCTTGAAAAATAAAGTAGTGAAAAATTTTTTCCAAAATCATGTACGAAATAATTTATTTTTACAATCAGGACGACATTAAAAAATATAGTACAGGTACTGTTTAAATTTAGAAAAAAATCATGTTTAAAAGATTGATTTTTAGGACAAAGAATTAAAAGATCATACATAAAAAGATATTTTATCGTGCGAAATATACTAGTGGATAACTTTCTCTCTCTCTCTCTCTCTCTTTGTCTTTCTCTCTCAAAGACTAATAAGAAAGGAATAAAATAAATTTCAAGTCTCTTTTTCCCAGTTTTCTTTCGCAATAGGAAGGACAGAAAATCCTTTTGTAAAAAAGCGAAGAATAATTATTTCCGAGCTCCTACTTTCTGGCGTTCTTTCAAATCGACAATGCACACATCAGCGCTACCCACGACGGTCACCAAAAAAAAAAGATGACACATCGTTAATATTCCAGGTTCCTGGTTATTAAGGATGTTTGGCGGAGGAGATGTCACCCATTGTAACCGTTTGCGGTTACAAACGGTCGCGCCAACTACTGAAGGGTGCGACTGGAAAATAGTTTTACCGCGTCGCGCGCGCGATGGAAATGCCCATCAAATCACAAAAGATACGTAACACGCGGTGACAATAGATGCCATCGCGCCTCGCTGTCAATACCCATTTCGCTTGCGAAGCACAGAAGTGACGGCTGGTCCGACGGACGTGAAAACTGCACTGGAAAAAAACGCCGTTTCTCCGCCATGCGCCGTAATAGAATACGCGGTAACGTGCGTTATGTCGTAACGCCGCGCCGTTGCCGCCAGCGACGATCTAATTGCGCTGTCGCGACGATCCTCCACTCTGCGATCCTGTTTTTGAAGCCAGAGAACCGAACGGGAAAATGGAACGCGATATCCTGATATCAGCTGGATATTCCATTCAAACTGCACTTTACGTACGCGGTAACGGCGGGCTAAATTTATCGAAAGTTTATGGAAATGAATTTCAAATTGCATATCGTTATCAAATGTCATATATAATTGCCATACAAAACCAAAAAGTTATTTAGCGTATCGACAAAATCATGATTTATTTTTCAATCGGAAATCAATTGTTCTCGTAAATTTTCACAAATTTATAGGTAATTTCCATTTTTCTATACTGGGTTACATTTTAATAAGAGATTCAGATTCTATCAATTTTACTTTTAAACACTTGGGAACAATTGAATATTTTTCTCCGATTTTTTAACAAATAATTGGTCCAACCGTAATTGAATACTGGTACACTAGAAAAAAAAAAATTTTGGAGCCTTTAGCAAAACTGTTTAGTTGAGGCATTTTTAAGAGCAACCATATTTTATTTATATCACGAAAACTGTAGTTGCTTTTGCAAAATAATTTCTCTGCTTTATAAATAACAAAAATATTTATATATAACTAAATTTAATTTACATAAAGTTACAGTTTTATTCAGTACATTTTAGCAAAAAATTTTTGTTCAATATATTTCAACCAAATTTTTGTTGTTACAACCAAATTTTTGTTTATGGAACAAAACATTTTTCCTAGTGTATATATATATATATATAGACAAAAAGTTATTTAATTCATCAACGAAATCATAATCTGTTTTTTAAATTAAAAATCAATTTTTGTAAACTTTCACAAATTTATAAATTATATATATATATATATATATATATATATACATATACGTATTTTACTTTATACTTTCGCAAAAGAGTTATTATTACAATGAAAATGGAAATTAAAAGACTAATGTTTATCAAAACTTGATAAAAACAAAATATCCTTCACATTTTGTTAACGTTACTTTGCCACTCCTATAAAAAAATAATTTCTGTTTCTAAGGAAAAGAAGATATTACAATACGACATTATATAAACGTTCTACGGAGCGTAAAATGGAGAGCGAAGCTGTTTTTACACATTAGTCCGGCTTTAAACTACTCACCATCATCAATCTCTCGTACTCTTCCTCAATGACCGTGCCATTGTAGTACCTCTTGTCCGATTTCGTGTCCGGGTAGTAGAAGCCTCGTTTGCAAACGCATCGATAACTACCGCGGCGGAAGCCAAGCCCGGGAATAGCGATGCACTGCGAATAGAAGACAAAACAATTAATTATATCTAATCAGGATGACGTGTTCAAGCCTTTCGTTACTATGGATAGTTATAATCCATCGGAATTGTTTCACGATCGCTGATCGTGATTTAACTCCCGGCTGAACGACTGAGTGTTCCACTTGATTATCAAATTTATTAAGCTTTTCGTTATAACATGTCGCATAAATGAAAGTTTATGCTACATAGTCGATCTATGTACGCTATATATGCGCATGTACTAACTTAAAATAATGTCCCGTATCACGCTCGTAGCACGTTTTGATTAAACATTGCTTTAACGGAGAATAATTTGATTAATATTTAAAACAATCGCAGATTTTGAAAATCTAAACATTAAATTATTAATTATCCACAAGAAAATTGAAAAAATTGAATGTTAAAATTAACTTAAAGTAATTCAGTATTCAGCTTAAGATTAACATAAAACAAGTCAATAGTATATTAACAATTTAAAAACATTACTTCAACATTACTTCATTCCAATTTAATCTATATATATAATACTTCAATTTCACGAGAGCTATTTAAAACAACAGAATTGAAAACATTTTATTAAAAAGAATCGCACGTAGTTTAAAAACTGGTAAATTCGTTATTTTTCATTTGTGTAGCGCTATTACCATTTAAGTAAAAAAATGAGATAATATTAAAAAATATTACAGTTGTGAGATAAAAATCCCCATTAAAATAAATGTCTACGATTACAAGGTCAAAACACAAATTAAAAAATGGGAATTAAAAAACAGAGATAAAAATGAAACAAAATAGCGTCATGAAAGGGAAAGAATGAAAAAGCGTGAAAAATGATTCTTATATCGTTTTTATAACAACGAACATGTTTTACTCCTCTAAAGCCCGCGCAGTTCACGCGACCGACGGGGAGAAGTGTGCTCGAAAACGTTCTCTCCAAATTGCGATCCTCTCCAAGTTCGTGAGTTATCGTTGCCACGAATCGGAAAAACGCGGTTTCGGAAAAAACACGGGGTTTAAAGTTTGGGGTTTACATAAGGTGTTGGCCGACAAGCGATATGTACGCCATTCTACATTTCCCGTAATTTTCAGGAATTTCCCCCGTGTATTTACCTACATTCTTACGTGAGGAAGAGCTGAACTTTCAGAAATTTAGACTCGTATCTCCATAATAACGAAGATGTTAAAAAATTTGTGATTTAAATTTTAATGGAGAATTTCAAATCACGTTACAGAGAAAAGTTAACGTTGGTTTCATTCATGCTTTTACTATCGCAAACGTTCCGCAAAATTTGTCAAGAAATTCACGAGGGAAAGTACGTGACTTACACTACAATTTAAATATCATTCTGACAATATAAACCACAAAAACTCAATAATCTCGGGAAATTTAGCTCAAATTAAATTTATTTTAAAAACCTGTGACGCATTTTCATCCATTCTCTCTCTCTCTCTCTCGAGTTTTAATCCATGAAAAGTAAAACACGCCAATAACGTGCGCGCGGTTTGTTAAGAGGTGACAAAAACGCTGCGCGAACGGGGTGGTTTTCGCACAGCGGATGCTAGCTGGTAGCTGCGGCAGGGTCGACAGTGGCATTTACAAATAGAGTCGGTCGCCACGCAGAAAAACATCTCCCCGATGGTTTTGCCCTATTCCGTACGGTACGTTTAAGCGCACGTCGCGCCCGACACGAGGAAGGACACTCGCGGGAGACATCGATCCTCAAGAAGAACGCAATGAGAAATTAGCATTACCTCAGTGGTGCGCTTTTTGCACTTGTCGCTGGCGGCGAATATGTTCAGCTGTGCGGATCCAGCCGGCAACGGGCACTGATCTATGTCTACTCGGCGGAGGTCTATGTCGATACCGCTGGTACCCCTGCGGAACGATAAATCAAACGTTTTGTGATTAAACTCTAGAGGCTCCGCGTACATAAGATAGGCTTACACATTAAATTTAAGCGACCGACTTGCGTCGGTTACTTCGCAGAGGTGCAATCTCGCGGAGGCGAGAACGTCGACGGTGCTCTTATCGGAATTAGATTAGTAGTAGAAACTAACGTCTGTTTTTACGCAATTCAAGTAGTAGCTAACATCTGTTCCTAACTAACAAACTTGTATAATCGCGTTTCACCACGTCTTTAGGAATTCAGTTTTAAGGATGTATGTGCCACATCTCAAAGCGGTTAAATTATCAAAATAATAAAAAACAATCACAACATCACAAATTGTTCTATTATTCCTACGTCTGAGTGTTTGACCACAAATCTCTAATTGGTTTATTTAATTTTTCTGCTAGATCTTAATTTTTATGTGAAATCGTTTTGTGTAATACTTATTTGTAAATTTGACAAACAAGTACAGCATTACGAATTAAATTAAATTTTTCATATACGCTAATAAAATTATAATTAATATTTGTGCAAGAGTTCATTTGAATCTACTTACTCGTTTAATTAAAAGTTATTTACCTACAACTGCAAAATATGATCATTTGGCGACATAAAGCCATTATGAGCCATATTATTTGTTATTTCGTTGTTTGAAGTTTCAGAGCGTAATTGTGATAAAAATTGATTGATATTAGATAATATTGGCTTTTTAGCTGCTTTTTTGACAGATACTTTTAGCCGATATTGTATAGTTAAAACATCCTTAACGGTCGCTGTACGTTATTTACATTTATAAAGCACCACAATTTGAAAAGGGGTAGGAAAATTCCAGAATATAAATATAGAAAAATTTGTATTATACAAGAAAGGCAGATTTAAAAATCTGATTTAAATTCATATTTAAAAGTGACGTTATTAAAAAAGTGATATTAAAATCCTGTTTCGCGATTTTGCAATTTTTTTCTCAGGTCTTCACTATGATATGCTCCATTCTCGTTTTATATTAATATTTAACATCAAATCAAATTCTCTTGCTTCGTGTCTTCTGATACATAATTCAACAGTGCGCGTGTTGCAGCCGATTATGCGTGCAATATATCTTCCGCTGATTCTCAGCTTATGTAACCCGATAATCTTTCCTCCGACATAAAAAGCAATATAATTACTTTGTACGAGAGACAGATATACAATATCAGCAGACTATTTCGTAAAATTCAATGAACTTATAATCCGTATCGATTTTTTTCAAGAATTTTTTTTTATATTTCGCACAAATATTCTAATTAAAATTTTCGTGAAACTTGATCGCAGTGAAAGATATTGCTGTTCCTTCAAAATTACGAAACTCAATGCAAAATCGTTTCTCAATTATCTAGGTATAAAATTAATTTCTCGTTATTGAACTCGCCGTAATTATTTTTAACCCTCTCGCCACTGAATAATGGTGCCACCCAGGTTTGGGACACCCTGTATAACGAATCCGTTTGACTCCCCTCTTTCGATAGTTGGCCGGTATCGATTCTTGATTTGCAAGAATTACGATGCGTTCGCAGTTGCGCTGATAACAAATTTCCTTTAAACGGATATTGCAATTCTTCAGAGCGACATAGCCCCGTTCTTTTCCGTCCGAATTTACCATGATTTCTGCGTGCGGTGGTCCGTGAAATTTTGCATTTTTGAATTTAAACGTGAGAACGGGAAAGCAATGTTATTTCCGACGTGCGATTGCGAACGAATTTTCGTTACTGGCGAACATATCGCTTGGGTATTTTGTGAATGGTGATTTCACTTAGTCCAGTGAAGTGGAAACGTTTCAGCTACATGGCAAAAGCGCTTTAATTCACTCGGACAGTGGACGCTAAATAAATTTAATTTCTTAGTTAGCATAAACATGAAACTTTTAGCATGAAGCTCCGTTTTTTTTATATGATCTGAAAGTATTAAACAATAATAAATGACAATAAAAGTATTAAAATAGATAATTATCTTTGGCCCGATCAATTTAAGTTAAGAAATATAATCAAGGCGTAGCTTCTTTTATACAAGGAATATACAAGAAATCGAAACAATCTCATCAATCAGAAATGTTAAACACAATATTACGTTTTGAAGAACAAGAATCTAGTTTTACGGGAAATGGATTTCTTGCGAACATTATTTCATTGTTCTTTGTTGTAGACTGTACGACAACAATTTTATACTGGCAATGACTGGTTTTATATTCTGCCGCAGAGGAAATATTTTGCGCAAGAAATTTTTTGAAAAATATCTCGGAACTGTAGATAGAACAACGGCAATACGAAAATGGTAATAATATACCACCGCATACCATCGTTATCGTGAAATTGCAAGAATTTTCGTCCGAACTACGGCGGGACTGAATCGTAAAGGATAATATTTCCAATTTCCATGTTGAAGGCCAACAATAATTAATATCTCTGCATTGTTTCGTAGAAAATGAGAAAGGAGGAGAGAGATTCTCGCTCTGTTGACACAGAGACTTCAAATGGCCGTTCTCAGAATAGAACTGAAAGCTTTTCCGAACAGTTACATCAATTTGCATAACTGAGTTCCGTTCGTATTTTATTTAGATTAACTCTTCGTCTCATATGACAGCACATTTACAACATATCTAAATTTGTTATTAAAATAAATTGAATATTGATTTAATATCGCCTTCTGTTCCGTGTGCTGCGACACATGTTACTTTTGTGAAAACTTGTTGCAATCAAACTGGTAATTTTATATTTATAGATTGAGCTTTTTATAGCGAATACATGTTAACAAGATGATACTGTGTTCTTTTAAGCTTTCTTCTTATCCAGTGTAAGCAAAAATTTGATTTTATTTATATAGGAAGATAGTTAATTGGATTATGTCCTATATGCGCAAAAACCAACTAACAATGTTGCGGTTGTTGGTTGGATTCTTCCTACAGCATTTAATCCAATTATTATACCGGCAACGTCAATCAATATAAATATTTGAAAACTGTGAGAAGCACAAACAAGTGTCTCCCATGTGCAATGAAATAAAATCAGATTAAATCAAAATCAAATTAAGTAAAATATCATACGAAAATGCAACGGAAAATGGAATTACATGCTAGAACAGGCTGTATTCGATACAATCTCTTTGTTTATGTACTTAATGCAATGTTATATATAATTAATATATTATCTATATCTTTATTAAAAATCTATAAGTTAAAACGGATCTTATTTTAATAAAAAGAGATTTAATATTATTATTGTGATGTAGCATATCTAAGAGTTTTACAAAATAGCAACAATTATAACAATTTATAATATTACAATAGATAATATTATTATATGAGAAATTAAGCTCAAGTCGATAAACTAAGCTGAAAGAAAATACGATTGTTTTTGGGGCACTCCGTATATACGGGCATATTTAAACTATAAGAATTTTCGTTGAACTATAATAAGATTCTATAAGGGGTATGATATCTGCATACTTCATCGCCAGGAAGGTGAGGAATGCTGGAAATATCTCGGCCCCGTGTTCATCAAATTGGTCGTATCGATTATCGATTGCAGCTGCGAAAGGCCTGGGTTTCAAGGTTTCAACAGGAGTTCCGAATTATCATCGCTTTCACGAAAGCACGACTTCACCTTCCATTAACTTAAGTAGAGTCGGAGTCTTGTTATTGTTCGATTAAGTGCACGTAAATACTCTTGCAATCTATAATAGCCGATGTAATGACATAACTTACATTAAATTTTTTATATTTCAAATATATATATGTAAATAAATAATTAATCACATTGAAAATAATATAATAATATATAAGTACAATTTTAATAAAGTAGATATTTGGCATGTCGTTTCTCTCTCTATAAGAAACAATAGCTATATGTTTTATAAACGTCGAATACCATAGTAATATTGTATATAAAATCTTAATTAAGGTATGATTCTTTGAAACTAAATTTAAAACACAAAATAAGGATCGTACTCATAAGGCTTTTACAGGCTTACAGGATGAACTAGATGGTATTAAATTTTATAGAGAAAAAAAACAGTATTAATCTCGGTTCGATATACTTAAATTTCTATATCCTATGTATATAGGTATCTGCTCGATAATCGCATTACAGCAACATTTTAAGCACGTAGTAAAAGAAATGTTGTTGGGATGTCGTGCGTGTAATTTAATGTATATGAGAAAATGAAATTAACTAAAAGCGGCAACGTTTTAAATTTTACTATCAAAATAAACAATTTTAATCTTGAAAAATATTCACAGACGTCACATTTTACTAAAAATGCTTCTTAAATATCTTTATTTATATTTATATTAATTTGTTTAATATAAATTAATTAATGTAAATTTATTTAGGAAGACATCTAAACTTGAATACATTACAGTACTGAGATTAACTCTATTTTACATACTTTTCTTTACCTTTGATATACACACTCGGATCCCTGGGACTCCATTCATATTTGTAACTTCCGTGAAAATGGATATATTTCAATTAATTTTTTTTTTTTCAATCGATGGAGAATTGATTAAGGAATAAATCCGTGCTGTATAAATGTCGATAGAATTAAAGTGCTTCGAGATATATAAGTTTAAAGAAAAAGAAAAGTTCAGAATCGCGAAAAAAATATCACTTTAGTAAATTGCACTAACTGGGATTTCTGGGACTAACCAGGGTTAATTTTATTATCAGAAAATTTTCATTTTTTTTCTACATTAACATTTTTTAAATATTTTTTTAAATAAAAAATATAAGAAAAAATTTATAGATATATCTTTATAAGAAAAAATTGGCTGTAAATTCTGAAGGAAAATAATTTTTCTCTTTATCCCATGATTTTACGTATAAATCTCGCGTACGAATTATGTACTAAATTGACCTTAATTGATTTTATCTGCTCCCGCTATATTCTCGTGTTGTGTTTATTTATTTACTCGTCATCATGCAAGTGGCGAAGCGCACATGTGCAATGTGTTTCATTATTCCCGAGTTGTTCTATAAGAATGTCGGGACGTGACGTGTATAATTATCGGCACGTAATTCCGGCGCAAGTTAGGTCGGAGATAATAAGGTAACCGGTTAAACGTATAAATTAGGTGCGCATGTGCCTCGGAGGTTTTAGCAAACTCGATGCCGTGGTAGCGCGGTGACCCGTGCCGAAAGCCCGAGCCCAGACCGGTTACCGTATTACAAATTAGATCCGCTAACTCTTCTCTAGCAGATAATTCGTTTAACCGTCCGGGCGCGAAATAGAGCGGGAAGCGGAAATGGCCTTGGTTAAGTGGATTTTTCAATCAGACATAGAATTGATATAATTACCAGTAATTATAACGCTATCGCGCCCGATCCGCAGAGTTAAAGATCCGGGTAAACTTGAGGAACAGAGAACCTTGGCTTTCATGAAGCGTGGGATACAAGGTGTTCGCGACCGATTGCATTTCCTTCCAGTTTGCTGATCCTTCGACAAACTTGGCCAATCTTTCCTCTAAGGAAACTCGATGGATTACTCACTCGCGTGTAGTCATCTACTGAAGTGTAAGTGTCCCTTATATCTTCCTCTTCAGCTATTCCGAGTAAACTTTATCCGAATGTAGATTCAATTTCAAATTTTTCAGAAATCCAAAGTCCGGACTTGGACCTTCGAGAAATTATTACCGTTGTCACGTCAGCCAAAAAGATTGGCAAATTGAACCGTTAAAAAGTGTTTGGTTGTGATAGCTGTGTACACTTAATATATCACTGTACCATAATCCTACTTTGCTTGGATGGTAATTTGCTTAAGTACTAATTTTCTTGGTCCTAACATGCTTGGAGGCTAACTTCCTTGAATTCCAAATTCCTGGTACCCAGATTTCAAGGGGTTCTATTATATAAAGCTTGGCTTTGATCCTAGTTTGCTCGCATATAGTCATTGGCCTACATAACAGTTTGCTTAAATCCCACCTTCTCCTTTTTCTTTATTAAGTTTATTTTTTATTTACGTTTTTTACTAGCTGTCAGATTTCTTTTTACTTTAATAGTATTAGTTTAATAATATATTACTTTAATAGATATATGTATAAAATATCTATATAAACTTGAAGAAATAAAAGAAATTAGATGTGTAGCAATCTTAAAATTTGGATAAGTAAAACATTTTAATAATGAAAAAAATATATGTATAATCGAGCACAATTAGAAGATTATTGCCGATGAAAAATATGAAAGAAAATTATAGATATTAAAATATAACTGCAAAATTAATTAAATTCATATCAAAGAATTGAGTTGAATTTAAAGTACAAAATATTTCGAAAATTAATTTAATTAATAAAAAGAAAAAAATGCATGTAAAATAAAAAAATAAAATTAGATCTATGCAAGCAATGAATAAATTAAACATTCAAGCAAATTAATTCCTTTGAAATTAATTATAATAAATCAGCAAATTCAAAATTAATGAAACTCGATCAATCGAAAATAATAAATGAACAAAGAAAATAGAATAGACACTATAAAAAAACAAAATAAAATCCAAGATGAAACGAATAAATAAACTAAAAATAAACTAGAGGAAAACAGAATATTAAAGATTTGATAACTGTTTTAAATTTTAATTAACACTTTACGCTTTAATTGCGAGTCTCATTCAAAATTATTAAGAAATTCAGTTTCTGCTCTGTCTCACTGAAGAATATGTCATATCTGTGAAATGGAGATTCTCCAGCTTGCACTTGATGTGAAATAAGCGATGCACGAACGCGTAGATAGCCGAGAGAAAGAGAAGGAGGAGGAGGTGGTAGAGAAATTCCCAATGGGAAGGAATGACGCGGCTGTCGCGGTGCCGAATGTTATCATCCTCGCGTCTTCGTCATCGTCGCTGTCTCTTTGATTCTATACGTAACTCATCAGAGAATCGCTTTCGCGAGACATGACGCATAATATGCATTACAAGGGCGCATTAAAGTGCATAAGTTCTATTTGTATCTGTTATTAGTTACATATATAGGCGATGGTTAATTATGTTATTCGCATTTTCGGGGATGGAATGAAATATTAGTTGCAAAGTGCACAACGTTTGTAGAATTTCCATAGAATTTAGCATATTAAGTAATAAATTCGCAATCACATATTCAATTTTTCTATTATAAAAAAATCTCTAGAATGTCACTATAATTTTTTTCATACTATTTTAATGTTATATACTTTGATAATTACGTTGAATGTGTTTTAAGATGAAGTTCACTTAAAATTAATTAAAGGAAACGCATATTTACTCTTTGTTTTATTTTATTTCTCGTATGCGTCATTTTTACTTGTTACTTACGTCTGTAATTTAATACTTTCACTAATTAGCCGAAATTTTTTTATTTTATTTATTTAATAATTTCATAACTGCTGCGCTATTATAGTAATTATCATTTTTCTCGATTTGTGCTTCAATATACTAGCGGTTAGAAGGACATGCGGTTTTAGCACACCTTGTATGGCTTTTACGATGAAATTTTCAGCCAAGCTATAGAGAAAGAGAGAGAGAGAGAGACGGACAGACAGAAAAAGAGAGAGAGAGAAAGAGAGAGAAAGAGAGATACGTCGAGCTTGTGAAGGTAAAATTCT